GAGAGCTGGTCCCCTCTTCAGCCACGCCCCTGGTCTCGACTACTACCTAAGTCCTGTGGATCTTTTCTACGGGCAAAGCTCTACCACTCTTTCTCCTTACTTCTATTTTCCATCAGTTGTACCTCTGTTTCTTGCCTCTCCGGAAATTGTACGCTCACTACATTTTACAGCTGCTCCTGTAAATGAGTCCGTCTTTGAGGAATACCATTTGGCCTAAGTCCACTGGCTTCTGCCTCGGGCGGCCTCCAACCACCTCAGCTTCTCTGACTGGACGGTCTCCTTTGGTCTTTAATTGTTGCCTAAATCATCAGCTCTCCCACCCTTCATCTAGAGCCACCCAATCAGTATCTCACCCATCCCATTCTCTTTCAAGCTCCTCACACTTTAAAAGTCCCCAGCTCTCCCACCTGCCCCTATTTCCTCTTCCTGTCACCAACTCTTCTGGTCAATCTCAAAGTGCCTACTACCCAAACCTGCCTACTCCCACACCTCATTATCATACTCTAGAAACCTCTTAAAAAAATTAAAAAGAATGGTAAAAAAATTCACTTCTCAAACCCCAAACTCTGTCATATAAATGCATATCTAGCACACATTCCCACATCATTACATGAGTGTATATGCTCTTATAAGTGGTTTTTCCTTACGAAATCCAAACACTTTTCAAAAATGTTCATATCTTAAAATATTCTCCTAAACATTAAAAAGCAAACAAAAACATATGCTAAGTAAAGCTGGTAGAATGACACTATGAATCCAGGACAAGTGCTTTTACAGCAGGGAAGAAATAGAGACCAACATGCTATCCCCTGGTAGACTTACCAGCTATCTTCCTAGAAGTCTTAAAAGTCTGTCTTCAAAGGGCAGGCAAGTCTACATGGCTTTCTGACTTAACTACAGAAAAAAGCCTGTAGTACATGAAGAACAGAGATACAGAGATGAGAAGTTGGACCTGAAAAAAATAAAGGAAGTATAATCAAAACTACATTTCTGTGGTCATCTGTGGCCCTGTAATAGAATTCTGCCTATTTCTCTCGCTGTCCTGCTCCCTGCAACAGTGACAGGGGTCTGATCCAATAAGCTGAACACTTGCTTTACTGAAATAATACCAAAGGTGACCGTACCATGATGCCACCCATGCCTAATTCCACTTTAAAATCCACTACAGAATTAACGCTCATGTGTTTAACCACAGCACTCTCCAGCCCACCATCCCACTTCAGCTGATGTGACAGCACTCAGCAGACAAAACCAGGCATGTAAAGCTCTTCAGGATCTGTCTGGCTGCCGACAGGTCTAAGTACTGACCCATCTGTAACTCCCCCACAAACCAAGCGTCTGGACCTCTGCACAGGCATCGCCCCTTCTTTACACTCCCTGTCTTGCCACCCAGCCATCAGACCCCTCACGCAGAATTACTTTTTTTTTTTTTTTCAACGTTTATTTATTTTTGGGACAGAGAGACAGAGCATGAACGGGGGAGGGGCAGAGAGAGAGGGAGACACAGAATCGGAAACAGGCTCCAGGCTCTGAGCCATCAGCCCAGAGCCTGACGCGGGGCTCGAACTCACGGACCGCAAGATCGTGACCTGGCTGAAGTCGGACGCTTAACCGACTGCGCCACCCAGGCGCCCCCAGAATTACTTCTTAATAATGGCCACTCCCACCCCCCATCCTCTTTGTCAGCACACCTCCAGTGTAGCATTCACCCTCTGGCAGGAGTCTGGCTCTCTGAGGGCAGGGTCTACCCATTCACCCTGTAGCCCTTGCACATCCCTGGCACACGGTGTATGCTAAGAAAGTATGTGTTTGTTACCTCTAAAACATCTGGTCATGAAGACTGGAGACCTGACCTTAGGTTCACAAGATTTTAAAAGTAGAAGAGACCTAAGCTATCATCTAGCCTTTGAACATTGGGATTTAGAGCAGAAATACCTCAGGGAGCATCTACTTTAAAATTCAATTTATAGCTGAGGAAATTCAAGCCTAAACATTAAATAACTTGCTCAAGATGAAGCAAATAATGAGCATCTGACAAAGGACCAGATTAAAGTTCTGCCATCTATCCAGGTTCTTTCTAACACACCTTGACTAATACCCTGGAATTTAGTAAGATCTTGACAAGCCAGTACAGTGCACAAAATCAGGAAGACGAATCTACAGAGAACTGCATTCCATATTCTACACTGGACAGAAAGTCCCAGTAGATCGCTGTCTCTAGCTCTGAGCAGGAAGGACACTTTGAGTTCATAACACAGGGGAACACGCAAACGAAAGCAACCAGGATGGCAGGCAGTCTTTAAAAACATGTATTTTGGGGGGCGCCTGGGTGGCTCAGTCGGTTGAGCGTCCAACTTCGGCTCAGGTCATGATCTCACGGTTTGTGAGTTCGAGCCCCGCGTCGGTCTCTGTGCTGACGGCTCAGAGCATGGAGCCTCTTTGGGTCTGTCTTTCTCTCTCTCTCTGCCCCTCCCCCGCTCACACTCTGTTTCTATGTTTTTAATAAACATTTAAAATATAAATAAATAAATAAATAAATAAAAACATGTATTTTGGGATTACAGAAACTGATTAACTTCAAAAGTGGAAGAAGTATGGATTAATAGGTAAGGTGTCCTAGAAGCAGCAAGTGGAAGCCAGCAGGGTTACAAAGTACTCAGTCATGGACTAGAATGACTGGCCCTGCCAGGTAAGAGCCCTCCCTAATCGTAAGTCAATGATCAGCATGGGACTGAAAGGGTCGTCAGAGGACTTGAGTCCAAACCCTTCACTTTAAAATGAGAAAAGTGATGCTGACGGAGAAAAGCGCCCAAGATCACAACACTTAGGTCAGAGGAAGTAACACAAGATCCTGATTCTGGATCTCTGCTGTAACACCATGAGGTCTTTCCCATGGGGACTCCTGAGTACAGGCCAGACACACAGATTCCCTCTGCCCTCCCACCCAAATTTCAGAGCTCCTAAGCCTAAGTATGAAGGTAACTCTACAAAAGTTTCCCTCATCCTACTTTCTGCCTCTACAGGCTACACGCAGTCCCTAAAAAAGTTCTGTCATTAGTGGTTTGCCAGTCCACCACATCACACTTATCTCCTATCCAACAGCTTCATTAGACTCTAACACCACTGGTTGTCTTTAAAAACATTCTGATGCATAGTTTAAAAAATAAATGCACAAAATTATGTACAGCACGGTTAAAACCAACCGGGTTCTATTATACATCCACTAGCATTTCTCTTCACCCCTAAATGTCAATTGAAAAGTAGTAAACTTTACTTGTAGTTTTAGGTTAAAGAAGAAATTGAATGCAAAGTTTCAGCTTTCATATACCTTCTTTCCTCCTATGCACACAACTTCTGTTAGTATTTGTTATAACTGAGGAATGAATAGTGACATATTATTGTTACTGAAGTGCAGAGTGTAGTTAGGGGTCATTCTACCTGTTGTACAAGCCTATAATTTTCCACACACTGTGTCACATACCGAGCATTACAGAATGGACAGAATGTCACAGCCATAACAATTCCCTGTGCTCCTCATTAACCATTGATCTCTTTACTGTCTTCCTGGTTTTGCCTTTCCCCGCACATTTTAAACACTTATGGCAAAACACAACAAAATTTACCATTTTAACAATTTTCAAAAGCACAATTCAGTGGAATCAAGTATATTGCAATGTTGTATAACATCACCATTGTCCATTTCCAGGACTTTTCATTAGGACAAAGAGAAACTCTGTACCCATTAAACAGTAACTCCCCATTCCCCCCACCCCTCCACCTCCGTAGCCCCTGGTAATCTCTACTCAGTTTTCTGTCCCTATGAGTGGAATCATACATTTGTCCTTTTGTGTCTGGCTTATTTCACTTTCCACATCTATATTACAGCATGTATTAGAATTTTATTCCTTTTTATGGATGAATTACATTACACAATTTGCTTTCCATTCATCTATTGATAGACATCTGGAGTATTTCCGCCTTTGGCTCATTTTGAATAAAGCTGCTAGTAACACTGGTGAACAAATATTTGAGGCCCTGCTTTCAATTCTTTAGAGTTTAGCCCTAGGAGTGGAACTGCTGGGTGTTAGAGTAACTACGCTAAAATGTGAGCAACCATTAACCCTTTTTCCATACCTCCTGGCTGCACCCCTTTACGTGGCTGCCAGCAATGCACGAGTGTGCCCCCTTCTCCACACCCTCCCCAACACCTGTTATTTTTCTTTTGATGACAGCCGTCCGAGTGGGTGTGAAGTGGTACCTCATTCTGGTTTTTATTTTCCTAACTCTGATGTCTGGAAGCATCCTGCGGAGCATCCTGTGACGTGCTCACTGGCCAGCCCTTGCCCGTTTTTTAAAGCCAGGTTGTTTCTGTTGTTGAGTCGTAGAAGTTCTTCACATATTCTGGGCACTAACCCCTTCCCAGCTACGTGATTACGTGTCTCCCACTCTGGGTTGCCCAGCTCATTTTTAAGCAGCAACAATGACAAAAGCCCACGCCGACGAGGTGCCGCGAAAACTGCGTCCTGGCCCGTAGCGGAAGAAGCGCTTTCCTTCCCGAGCCGGTTCCCGACCTCCCCGCGGGATCGCGCAGAGCGTTTCCCGCCTCCCGCAGAGAACGCGGGGCTCGCCCCCCGCCCCGAGGCCCACCCCGCCGGCGGACGGGGCGCAGGCCGCTCCTCGGTGCACGCCCCGGACGGGGTTCCCCGGACTCGGGCCTTGGCGGAGGCGGGGTGGGCCCCGGCCCGGGCGACAGTCCCGCCCCTCTCCTCACCGGTGGGCCTCGGCGGCGTCCAGACACTCGAAGGACCTCGGAAGCCGCGCTCGCGGGACCCGGCTGCTCCGCGAGGCCCTGCAGCGCGGCGGCCTCCCGAACGGCTGCGCGGCGCAGGCGCGGGATGCGGGAGCGCGGGCGTGCGCGCGGCCGCGGGACGGGTCAGTGGGGGCTGATGGGACGCTAGTTTGTCGTCCCGCGCCCTCCAGCGCCGCCCAATCAGGTCGCAGATCGCCGGGCGCCGTTTTGGGAGTACGTTGGCGTGCGGAGCAGCCCGCCCTGCCTCCGGAAGTTACGCGCTCAGTCCCGCCCCCGGAGGATCGCGGGCGCCGGCCGGGGTTGGGTCTACAGTGCTGGTTACCCTGAGCGAGTGAGCCGTGGTCTCAGCGGCTGTAGTCCTTGTTGACTCCGGCAGGTCGACGGTCCGATCCCCGGCCTAAGGTCGCCTGTCCGCTCTGTTTCTCGCTTCTGCCGGTTCCTTGAGGTGAACACGCCCGCAGACCTCGAGTGGCCGGCCGAGACGGTGCTGCGCAGCAGATTCATTGTCGCGAATGCCTAGTGGACCTCGCCGTCGAACCAGCAGCCCGCCGGGTTGTGCAGTCGGTACCCACTCATGCTTAGTGCAAGGCTTCTCCAGTCTGCTGTTTTGACCTCCCATTCACTTGGAACTGAGGGGCCTGCGTTCTTTGATTTTTGAGAATATTCTGACTTCTAATATTTAAATAGTGACAGGCGCATTTTAGGGCATTTGCAGGTTTTTGCTTGTGTAGCAGAGTGATCCATTAGTTGTGTTTAGATTTAATAGCCTCGAAAGAAAACTGCACAATTAAAAGGGTTAAAACTATATATATACATATATATATACACACACACACAAATATATATATACACATATATAAATACACATGTATGTGTGTGTATATATTGTGTGTATATATACGTATATATACATACATATATATACACACAATATATACATATATATATACACATACATATGTGTATGTGTATACACATATGTATGTGTATACACAATATATATGTGCGTGTACACACGCACATATATATTGTTGCCTGGGCGGGAGGCAACTGCCTGGGCCTGAAGACTGTACCTGCCAAGGTACACTGTAAACACACTCCTGGGAGAGGGAGGAGGAACCATTCATCTTGTAAGGCACAATAAACAAACATTTTAGAATCTCTTTAAAAAAGAGCATTTTGGGGCACCTGGGTGGCTCAGTCGGTTAAGCGCCCGACTTCATAATCTCACAGTTCGTGAGTTCAAGCCCCGCATTGGGCTCTGTGCTGACAGCTTAGAGCCTGGAGCCTGTTTTGAATTCTGTGTCTCGCTCTCTTTCTGTGCTCCTCCCCCCACTCATGCTCTGTCTCTCTCCTTCGAAAATAAATAAAAACATTAAAAATTTTTTCAAAAGAGTGTTTTATTCAGGTCTAGATTAGGACAACTTCCTGCGATACACAATCTTCGGTATAGAGTTATATACATTTTTTACATTAAAAGTCCCATTTTATTATGCAAAGAACGTTTCCAAGAGTTGCAGACTTTAAGTTTCCAGTATATTCAGCGCTGTATGACTTTAATCTTGAAGGAATCAGGGAAGTTTCTTACTTTTTCTTATCTTTTTGTGTTAAGAATGCTCCTTTTTGTTATTTTATTTAATGAAGCAGACATAGTGTGTGCTACAGACCTTGGTAAATGTTAAGTAGTTTCCGGAAGCCCAGGAGTAGGGTCCCCAAATGTTAAAAGTTGAAAATTTTCTTTACCTGGGAAAACATCTCCCACTCTCCCAAGTCCAAACTGTGACATGAACTTTTATCTACTAACACAACAAAACTTTCTTTGTGAAAAAGGAAAGTTGAACACTGCATTAAATATACAGAAAAAAGACAAACAGCTTATTTACAAGAGAAGAAACATAGATGTCCAATAAATAGTGAAAAAGTCTTCAGCCTTAATAGAAATACAATCCATACTCTTTAAGCCATAAATTTTAAATGTAGAAATGAGAGAATCTTTTCTCTGACCACTTAGTTTTACATATTAACTTTTGAGATTGTTACCTTTAATAGGAAGTTATGGTGTAAAATTCAGTATAGGCATATATGTAGTGCTGTTTTTCTCATTTTAGGCCTGTATTTTAAAAGTATTGTAATAATTACAAGTGTTGCTGCTGTATCAGTGTTACCAAAATAACTTTCAACTCTTATTACTGTTGTTACCCCTAAGGCCTCCCCCTGGAAGGTAGTGTAATTTGTACTCACATCACACAATTTCCAGTTAAAGAACTGGGTAGTGACCAGAGATTGATAGCAAGATAACAGTGTATTATTTCTTCAGTTGCTGAAGATCTTCCCTCCTGGGGTGGTTTGTCAATTTGTGAACTGTTTGCAGACACAGACTTGTTCTGAGCTCTGCTATCTGCAGATGGAAGTCCCTAGGGTCTGGACCTGGTTGCCAAGTGTGTGGATGCCTCTGGAGCACTGGAGTTCTGAGTTTCTGTTATTTAAGAAGTTTTTTTTTTTTAAAACATTTATTTATTTTTGAGAGAGAGTGTGTGTGTTTGTGTGTGGAGGAGGGGCAGAGAGAGAGAGAGACAGAGACAGAGACAGAGGTTCCAAAGCAGGCTCTGTGCTGACAGCAGCAAGCATGCTGTGGGGCTTGAACTCATGAACCTCAAGATCATGACCTGAGCCAAAGTTGGACGCCCAACTGACTGAGCCACCTGGGTGCCCCAAGAAGCTTCTGTGGAGCTTTTACCTTCTGTTTTGAAATCCAATTTCAGAAACAAGGTTCATGGTGGCTGCAGGCCAGAATTTGGCTGTGGTACTTGGTTTTTTCCTCAAGTGTTAGAATGAGTTGTTTTAACAGAACTCTGAACAAACAAGCCTCTAGTGTAGGGCAACTCTTGGAAGCCAAATGTAGATTGTGATGGGGCAGTAATTCGGTCCATTTTAGTGAGAATTTCTCTATAAATGACAAAGTAACATAGCAACAAAATACCCTCTGCCATTATTTTGAATTGAAATTATGTAAGCAAAGCTATCATAGAGTATATGGATAATTCAAATGAACTCCCAATTATTGAAACCTTAGTCTTTTAGAGTCTGTCAGTATATTGCCCTAAACCTGAAGTAACCCAAGAAAGCACAAATTAGCCTCATAAAACCCTGTACTAAAACTAGACCTTACAGACTTTTAAAGTCCACTTTAAGTCTCCTACTTAGGAGACTTTAAGTCTCCTATTTAGCACATACTTCATAACTTATTTGGGTGTTTTCTCAATTCCTGCTAGATTCTAGGGTCTAAACTTGAAGTGGGGAGAAGGTGGATGCAGGAGAACTAAAGTTGCAGCAAGAAGTGATCACCTCAGTGTCCTTGGTGGAGGAGGACACAGCTGTGCCTGTGCATATACTCAAAGCTGACACAGAATCACAATTGCAAACACAGTGCAGTTTGTGAATTGAAGGTCTAAAATCGTACAGAATTTTTGTCAGAAAAAGGCAGACTTAAATTTCCAACCCAAACTAGAGCATTAACGTACATCTCAAGGAACATCAGAAAAATGACAGAGAAATAAATACAGACATTTACATGGGGTAACTGTGGCATTCTGTTTCTCAGTTTATAATCGTAAAGAGCTGCTCTTCGCCTGCTAGAGTGTTTTGCCCTCTTAAGTCACATCTAGTCCTTCAATTCATTTCAACAACAGGGCTGCCTAGATTTAGGTGTCTCTGGTTTTCTGTCTTTCCCATAGAATATATGTTACTGATGTTAGTATTATAATGAAAGAATGATAACTTGTTCTTTGGGAGTTATTAGGGATAAACATTGTCCAATTTCAAAGCAAAAAGTTCAAATAGCCACAGTTCTCACATTTGTCTTTGATACAAGAAGGGGCTTCTATAGAGGTCCATTGAAAGCTATGTCTCCTACTTTGCGAAGATCTGACCTGCAGCTTGGATAGAGCAAACTGTGATGCTCTGGCCTTTCTGCTCCTTTCTTTTTTGACTATCTGGGCAGCTTTCTAGTCACTGAGAGTGGATTTTAGGTGAACAAGTGGCTGGAGTAGCTATAAGATCACCCCTCTCTGTCTTTAGGCCAGCCCCTGGGCCTTTCAGAGAGCTTTGTGTGTGGAAAGGGTGGACCTGTTTGCCTTTGCCTATTTATTTGGACTGCCTGCCTTGTTTTCAGTTTGTTGTCCACCTCTGTGATGGTTAGCACTGGCCTTACCAATATATATATTTTAAACTTATTTATTTATTTTGAGAGAGAGATAGCATGAATGGGGATGGGGAAGAGAGAATCCCAAGCAGTCTCTGCACTGTCAGCACAGAGCCTAGCATGGGGCTAGAACTCACGAACTGATCATGACCTAAGCTGAGGTCAGCTGCTTAATTCACTGAACCACCCAGGTGCCCCTGCCCTTGCCAACATTAAAGGTAGCGTTCTTATTGTCCCATGAGTAGTTGGAAGCAAACAGACATTTCAGAAGTTCATAAAAAGGCCTAAGGGAGATAGATGTTTGTTCTGCCACAGAAACCAGATGATAGCTGTCTTTTCTGAGGCTACCAACTTCTTTTCAAAATTTAAAATGCAGAAGATACCACAAAACCAAAGACTATAGGGCCAAAACTTTGTAGTGTAATGTTTGGATTTACAACTTTTACCTAGACTGACATGTTGACTCACTGCTTTTTCCTTACTCCTCAGGAAGCAAGCCTTCCTGACTGTGGGGGTTCCTTGAAGTACGTCATGGATGATGGAGGACCCCAGGGCCATCCTCATTGTTACAGGATTTGTCCAATGCACCCAGGTGGCCACATGATTGATGTTTTCTCAGGAATAAAGCATTACATTGAAGAATCTTACATAATTCAGAAGGTTTGACATGCTATGGAGAAAGAAAGGAACATGGAACTTGGAAATTAGCTGAACTCTAACTGTGAAAACACAGCTGAAGCTCTGGGAAATATTTTCTTGCTTGAAGTGGATCTATCCTTGCTTCCAGAGGGCAGCAGAGGAGGGGAAATCAGCTTGGACACATTTTTCAGGGCATCTTGGTTTGTTGAAAAAGAGGTATCATGATGCATTTTAATGTGCTTTAAGTTTATTTTAAAAGAAAAGCAAAGAGTGAACACCAAGCATGAATGCCGTAGTATTTACTGCTTTCAACCATCTTGAACTGTTTGGTGCCATTCAAATCAAAGTTCTATAATAATGAGAAGGTCTAGGGGCGCTTGGGTGGTGCAGTCGGTTAAGCGTCCGACTTCAGCCAGGTCACGATCTCGCGGTCCGTGAGTTCGAGCCCCGCGTCGGGTTCCGGGCTGATGGCTCAGAGCCTGGAGCCTGTTTCTGATTCTGTTGTCTCCCTCTCTCTCTGCCCCTCCCCCATTCATGCTCTCTCTCTGTCCCAAAAATAAATAAACGTTGAAAAAAAATTAAAAAAAAATAATGAGAAGGTCTATTCTACTGAATTACTGTGACTAGAATTAAACATGTACTCAAACGCACACACTCACATTCACACCTCCATCTTTGAGCATCACTGCCATATAAACTGCAGTGAATTCCCAAACTGCAACTGATGAGTCAGAAAGCACTTTTAAAATCACCTGAGGGATGTGGCGTCTAGGTGGCTCAGTTGTTTAAGCATCTGGACTCCTGATTTCTGCTCAGGTCATCATATCATGGTGAGATCAAGCCCCAGAGGTCATGATCTCATGGTCGTGAGATAGAGCCTCACGTTGAGTTCTATGTTGGACTCCATGCTGGGAGTGGAGCCTGTTTGGGATTCTCTCTCTTCCTCTCTCTCTGCCCCTCCCCCGCTTGTGTGTGCACTCATTCTCTCTTTTATTTTTTTTAAGTTTATTTATTTTTGAGAGAGAGAGAGACAGCAGGGGAGGGAGAGAGAGAGAGGGAGAGAGACAGAGAGGCAGAGAGACAGAGAGAGACAGGGAATCTCAAACAGGGTCTGCACTGTCAGTGCAGGTGCTCAAACTCATGAACTGTGAGATCATGACCTGAGCTGAAACCAAGAGCTAGATGCTTAAGTGACTGAGCCACCCAGGTGCTCCCTTCTCTCTCTCTTTAAAAAATAAAATAAAATAAAATAAAATCACCTGAGGGCTACAGGTCATTTTATTAATACCACTCCCATTGGGTTGTAGACATGGGGATGTGCCATTATAAGGTAAGTTAGAGTTGAAATATTACTAAAAACCCTTTTCTTGAGAGCTTGCAGGAGAATCTGGGAGCAGTATTTTTTCTTTGCACCATGTAGAGCTTACCTCCACAAGGTTCTGTTCTCAAGTACTCAAAGAAGAGGAACCTTTGCTGGTGTGGATGGTGTTTCTGGTTGCCATGGTGATAATGGTTTGGGGATGTGTGGCGGTTGATGAAATAAATATTAACTTATAGTATTGAGTATGTCCCAGGTGCTGGCTTGGTATGAACTATTCTGCAGAAACAATGGCTGAGAATGAACAAAGTGAAAACCGGTCTGGAACACATAGGTAAGGGGTTGTGCAGAGTAGGGGGTAGGGGTCACAGCCCTGGCCAATTTACCTAGGTTCAGAAGGTGTGAGGGGTTGGTGGTGTTTCACCATAAGTAATTTCACAGAAGAATGGCTTTTGGATGTTGATGTATTTTGTAGTTGGTAGAGAAGTCGGAGAGAGGGCACCCCATCTGTCTGAAAGGATCTGCAAATCTCAATAGATGTGACAGCCTGAGTGCTCTTAAGAAGGTACCTGGCTTTCACAGGGCTCACTTTGAGCCTGCACGCAGGACTGATTAAGACAATAAAAAGAATTGTTCTAAGAATGGGGTATTGGAAGAATGATGCACCTTGTAATCTTGGGAAGAGGGTGGATCTGGAGTCCACTGTGGAGTTACTTCACGAGAGTGGTGGTGGACCTGCAGCGTCTGGCTGATGAGATACCGGCCTTTTTTTATGAAGTATGGGCGTGGTTTCTGTGACTTTGTTCTAAGGGCTGGAATTTCCAAGGAGCAGGATTGTTAAGATGTAGGTTCCTGTAAGAGTTGATGCCTGGGGAGTGGACAAGTCCCCTTTTGTTGCTGGGAAGTATGTCTCTAGCGGCTGGAGTGGGTATTACAGGCATCTGGTAAGTGACGGGGTGGTTACAGGGGACAGCAGGCTGTAGTCACTCATGATCTTAATGGATGTATTCCTTATGGAGAGATGTTAGATTTTATGGATAGGTATCCTCATAAAGTGTGATTGTTGAGTTTAATAGTAGATATATTTTTATTACTTCTATCAATCTCCTTGTAGTTGGTATTCCAATGAGCGGTGTGTTACAATATTGCCTGCGTTTTATGTATTTGCATATTGAAAATGTTGATGACTCCCCTACAAATTGTACGCTGGAACATCCAATTAGTTATTAATACAGTTTTATTTTTGACAATGAAATAAGTGTCCTCCTGTGATTCTTAGCTTAAGCCAGGGGGAGGGAGCCCTGTTTGGTACCAGTAGTGAGTAATGATATGGGAAACTTTCAGCTGTTAATGTTTGTCAGCCTTGTTCCTGAGGTCCCCAGAGAAGCTACAATTTAACATTTACCAAGGTCAGAATGACCTGGCCGAACTTCAGAGCATGGACTCTATTTCTTCCCTGAGCACACATTGTATGTCTGCTTCATTAAACAAACATACAAAACAAACAGACAAAAAACCACAAAGGAGCATTTTGAACAGAAGATAAGAAAAAGAAAGAAACATCCCTGGTTCCCATAAGATTAAAGTCACATAGCCCTGCACATACCAAAAAGATAAGATAAAGTCTGTAACTTTCTGGAATGTCCTTCGTCACATAGATTTGTAACTCTCTATTGAAAAACCATGTAACCCTGTGCCAAATGTTCCTTCTCCTGAGCATTCTCTTCTTTGAGAATATTGTGTATGCTTGGCAGCAGCCCTAACTTAAGCTCAAATAAAACTCTTTTCCTTTCTCTTTAAAAGGGTTTCTTGGGGCGCCTGGGTGGCTCAGTCAGTTGAGCGTCAGACTTCAGCTCAGGTCATGATCTCACAGCTCATGAGTTCGAGCCCTGCGTCGGGCTCTGTGCTGACAGCTCAGAGCCTGGAGCCTACTTCTGCTTCTGTGTCTCCCCTCTCTCTGCTCCTAACCCACTCTCATTCTGTCTCTCTTTCTCTCTCAAAAATAAATAAACATTAAAAAATTTTAAAAAAAGGGTTTCTTCATTTTGTGTTGATAGTACCATAGTCCCTCCTGGGGTACATTATAACATTCTGTTGGGAGCCAAACTCGATATTTGTTATTGTGAAAGAATAAGGAGTCCATGAATTGTTTGTATCTTGTTTCATATTCCATGAGTCCTGGTCTTAGTTTCACACCTCCATGAATCACACAGGGTGTGTCCTCTGCAAAGGGTATGTTTGAGACAAGGGGCAGCCTCTGTGCAGCTGGCCAACTCTAGCATCAGAATGCTGTCAGTAGGGAGTTACTGGGACCCTAACTCTGAACCTGTTCATGACACACAGAGTAAATAGATTCTAGGTTTATACCCTTTGGGGAGAAATTTTGTATCTATGATGACAACCTGAAGAAAATTTGTAACTTCTAACCTTTAGCCTACCCCCTAACCTGAACCCTGAACCTCGAGCCCAAACCCCAATCTGAAACCCTAGCCCTAAACCTTGAACTGCAAACCCAGATCTCTAACTCCAACCTGAATCTGAACCCTGAACCCAAAACCTGGACCTAAGCCCTGAACCTGGAAACCCTAACCCCTAGCAGTGTTAGCAATAGCCAAAATGTAGAAACTATGCAAATGTCCATCAGTGGTGAGTGTATAAACAAAATGTCGTTAAGGTTTAGACTTAAGATTTTATTGTTAGGGCCATGCGTTGGGGTCAGTGCAAGGCTTGAGATCAGGGCCTGTGTTTCATCACCCTTTTCCATCTCTCTGGCTCTCCAGATTGGACAGGACTCACCCAGGATCACACATGCATCAGAGGTTGATCTGAACATCGGTCTTCTGCCCCTTCATCCCTGGGTACCAAGAGAAGGAGAGTCAAATGTCCGCTTGGTCCCTATTTCAGATCAAACTCAGACCCAGTCCAGCATTGTGGAGAGCCTCAGAGATTACACAGGATTCTTCCACCCTCTCACCTGGAGAGGGTGTTGCTTGCCACACTCTGCCTGGGCAGCCCTAGGTTTCAGCACAGTCCTGACCCACAGGGCACTCAATGGACATGTGTCGGTTTACATAGGTCTGAGTGCAGCATCCTATAAGACCCCATGTGCAGCCCTTCTTGTGGAATGGGAGGGCCCTCCTGGCACTGGCTGTATCCCTGGTCCCATTGGAGCCATCAGCAGTAGACAGGTCTCAGATAGGACAGCCCTTGGCCTCTGACCATCCAGGCAGGCATCTGTGGTCCACCAGCTCAGGTCCTAAAAACCCCCATAGCCAATTACTGAGCTGACTGTGCTCTTGGCAATTTAACAGGTCTATGGGCAGTGTAGACCAATCCACAGGATGTTTCCATTCCCAACGTCTGTGTGGTTGAGACAAATAACTCTTCCCTCCTAGCCTTCTATCCTGCCAAGAGATATAATAACCCTCCAAATGTTGAATGTGGCCTTGGCCACAAGAGCCACACAGCAGACTGGCCCTGTAGTCCTTGGCCTCTCTGTTGTAATGTACATCTTGGACATTTATACTTGTTAAGGATCAAGAATATAGGAGCAACTGTGTTTCCCAGCAGGCAGTTTCTCACTGAGGCTGCATGGTCTCAGAGAGCCACATGCATGACTCCAGGACCATGGCCTCCAGAAAGCCTGCCAAGTGTGGGTTCTGTGCTGTGGAATAATCCTGGAGTCTCCCACTCCTTCACTGAGCATTAATTTCCTTACCTTCCTCACATGTGGTCTCTGCTCTTTGTAAAGGAGAGAGAAGAGACTCGAAGATGGGACAATTTGTTCTATGACAATGTGTAATTAATGTGGCCAGGGGCAGGTGTGACTCCTGGTCTCCTTCCGAGGGTTAGGGTTAGGGTTAGGGGTTAGGGTTAGGGGTTATGGTTATGGTAGGGTTAGGGTTAGGGGGTTAGGGTTAGGGTTAGGGTTAGTGTTCCAGTTAGGGTTAGTGTTAGGGTTAGGAGTTAGGTTATCATTAGAGTTTGGGTTATGGTTAGTTTAGGGTAGGGTTACGTCCCAGGCGGCTCCAGTTGCTGGACTCACCATAGGGCACTTGTCTACCTGAAGGTTTGAGTGTAGTGGTCAGGGGAGGGTGCCATTTAGGGTTAGTCTTTGTTTTGCAAGTCTTGAGACCTCTATGGGCCTATGGTCTGGTAGTCCTCAGAAATTCTCTTTTATAGCTATATTCGTGGTTTTGAAATGATATTGTGATTCAGTTTACATGTCGCGTATTTATCCACCATTTCTCGACCTCATTTGATTTGTGTCAGACTGTGGAATTGGTTCACTATGCAGAGAGAGCCTTAGTTACCCTCTGATTTTGGGTCAGTGAAATATGTAGCGCCGAAGTGGCACCAGTCCTGCGATCTCTCTGGATTGATGAATTGAAGGCCCATGCATGTTGGGAGTTAGGTGTAGGGTGCGGGTTAACAATGAGGTGTGATTTAGCTTAACGTGCATACCGAAGGTAACAGTTAAGAATAGGTTTGGTCATAGGCGGCTCTTGGTGCTATACACCCAGTAGGGAATTTGTTTCCCCACAGGGCTGAGTGGGTGGTCTAAGGAGCGTCCCAGTGAGGCTGAGTTTTGGGTGCCAGGGTCACTCCTCGGTTAGACCTCAAGAAATCCCCT